GATCTGCCTAGCAAAAGAGACAGTAAATAGAAGTACAGGTGTTTATAGCCAAGTGCCCTCAGATGTCTTTTCTGTGTGATCACAGAGCGGTTTCTACACTCAGCAACAACATGGTAATTATAGGGCGAGGGAAAGAAAAGCAGGCTTTAGTGGCAGGTTTCCAGCATCTCTACTAAAAGCACAGGGCTGCTGCCATCTGCCGATCCGCATCCGAATGGCAGCAGGGACAACCTGAGCATAGGAGGAATCAGGCTCCATCTCCACGCTGTCCCTTGAGAGCAGTCTTGTCAAGCCGGGGGGAAGTAGAGGCTGGATTTAACCTACTTGTGCATTTAACCTACACACTGGCTCTACCTCTCTGAACCCGCCAGCAGAGGCATGGACCGTGGTGGCAGTGCCAGGGTCACGGTGCTGGGGCAGGTGTGTGTGTCGGCAGCCTCACGAGCTCTGATTCACACACGCAGACCCAGCAGTGTCAGCTCTTGGCATGTTTTTTCCAAGCCCAAACCAACACAATCAGTTGATACCAGGAGCTGGCTTAGCTTTCATCCAGGCCGGTCATACTGCGGTGCTCCCCTGGGATGTTATGAGATCTTTTAAGGGTGCTGCAGGGTGTGTTGCACAATGTTAGCATGGTTAAGTGTGCAAACACCTGCATGTGTTACGCACAAGATCAACCTAGAGATTCAAATAGGAATCCAGAGTGTCACAAACATCCTGCCCTGGGTGGGCTGGCGGAGGTCTTTGCAACACAAGATATCGAATCAAACCATTATAGACAATGAGGGCTGGTGGGGAGCTCAGGAGGTCACATCGAGTCCAACCCCTGCTCCAAGCAGGACCAGCCCCAACTACATCATCCCAGCCAACGCTTTGTCTACCTGGGTCTCCAAAACCTCCAAGGATGGAGACTGCACCACCTCTCTAGGTAACCCGTTCCAGTGCTTCACCACCCTCCTAGGGAGAAAGTTTTTTCTAATATCCAACCTCAACTTCCCTTGCTGCAGCTTGAGCCCATTGATGCTTCTGTCATCTGCCCCCACTGAGACCAGCCCAGCTCCATCCTCTTTGCAACCCTCCTGCAGGTAGGTGAAGGCTGCTATTCGATCCCCCCTCGGTCTTCTCTTCTGCAGACTCAATCAGCCCAGTTCCCTCAGCCTCTCCTCACCAGTCCTGTCCCCCAGCCCCACAGCCATTTTCATTGCCCTCCACTGGACTCTCTCCAACGTGTCCACATCCCTTCTGCAGCGGGGACCCACAGCTGGACACAGGACTCCAGATGTGGCCTCCTCAGTGCTGAATAGAGGGGAAGAATCACTGCCCTCCATCTCTCCAACAATTGCTTTAGTATTGTTCTGTACTCAAAAAATGATTGAAAGCTCAGAGCTGGCCTTTTCCAAGGGGCGCCTTGAGTCTACAAAGATTGAAAACCACTGGTTTAGAAAAACAAACAGCCCCTCGACCTTCCAGCATCACAAGGCAAGTAAAATATAAAGAAACCCACTTTTCTCCCCTTTCCACCACATGGGTTTGCGAGCCAGGCTCATGAGTTTCGGTGGGCCTGGTCCATTATCTCTGCAGGCTCAGACGTGACATAAGCGTGAAGCTTTACTGTTGTCACATAGCCCCAGAGCTCTCCATTGCCCATGCTGGCCCCTCTTTTGTGTGTGCACATCCACAGTCTTGCCCCGGTCATCATCCGTGGAGGCACCTGGGCATCTGGGCAGCGGCTTTGTAAGCACTATTGTGTGACATTAATTGCATCATAAGGTGAAGATGCAATAACCTGAGCGCTTCAGCAATGCTGTCTACTCATTACAAACAGCTCTGTGAGACGTGTGGGTTCAACAGGGGCATCACTTCACCATCTAGTGTGTGGGGAAACTAAAGCACTAAGATGGGTGTCTTTCCCAGGGTTACATAGGGCGTCGGTGGCAGAGGTGGAGCTGGAGTTAAGGAGTTCCTAGATCCCAGTCCAGCATTGAATCTAATTACTCAGAGCTGCACTCAGGTTGTTCCAGCCTTTTCATCCAGCTCTTTTGCCAATCTCAGCTCCGGACTCCGACTGAGGGTCAAATCTCCAAAGGGTCAAGGATTTTCTCTCTCTCTTTTATGCTTCTACCCCGCCACCCAGAAATATAAAGGGCAGAAATGAAGGTGGTTTCCTCCCAGAGTGATAAACCTGTCAGCAGTAGAGCTCTTTTTCCAACTGTTTGTTCATGCACTTGAGTTTTTATGGATAAAAAGCAATGTTTTAAACAGTTTTCCTGTCCTTCCCGACAGAATCAGGTTTGTATTCAAGCCGTCTCTGACGCCCTGCCTCCACCAGCTCTCATCTCTTCTCCTCTCACTCGCTGGCTCCTTCGGAAAGCCAGAGTCAACAAACCTGGAATTCTTCACGTAAGTGAAAATACGAGTCAAAAACAAGCAGACAAAACACCACCACCACCACCCTTTGGCTCAGGCTCGTCTCTCGTTCCACGCTGGACTCCGGCTGTGACCAACCCAGAGTTCAGGGCACTTTGTTCCAGCTTTCCAGGGAGGCTCATTTGCAAAGTTCAGCTCCAGCTCTGGGTTCAGATTTTAGCCCCATTCCCCTAACTAAGGGAGATGAACTGAGCACCAGGCCTGGGTGCTGTTTTGGGGGACTGCAAAAATAGCAGTCACTGCCACTGACGCCCGAGGCAAAAAAGGGCCCATTTCTCCTAATTTTTTCCGTCCTTTTTTTGTAACATGGACACTTCGTGCCAATCCCAATCACAACTGCATATTTTGAGGCATTTTTTGGAGTCCAAATGGGGAAACTGAGGATGAAGAGAAAAGCAAAACCTAGCCCGTCCTATGCACCTCATCAGCCCACCCTATGCTCCTAGCCCACCCTATGCACCTAGCCCATTCAATGCACCTCATCAGCACATCCTATGTACCTAGCGCACCCTATGCCCCTCATCGGAACATCCTATGCACATAGCCCACCCTATGCACCTCGTCGGCTCATCCTCTGCTCCTAGCTCATCCAATGCACTTCATCGGCCCATCCTATTCACCTAGCCCACCCTATGCACCTCATCAGCACATCCTATTCCCCTAGCCCACCCTATGCACCTCATCAGCACATCCTATTCACCTAGCCCACCCTATGCACCTAGCCCATCCAATGCACCTCATCAGCACATCCTATGTACCTAGCGCACCCTATGCCCCTCATCGGAACATCCTATGCACATAGCCCACCCTATGCACCTCGTCGGTCAATGCACCTCATCAGCACATCCTATGTACCTAGCGCACCCTATGCCCCTCATCGGAACATCCTATGCACATAGCCCACCCTATGCACCTCGTCGGCTCATCCTCTGCTCCTAGCTCATCCCAAGCACCTCATCGGCCCATCCTATGCACTTAGCCCACCCTATGCACCTCATCAGCTCATCCTCTGCTCCTAGCTCATCCCAAGCACCTCATCGGCCCATCCTATGCACTTAGCCCACCCTATGCACCTCATCAGCTCATCCTCTGCTCCTAGCTCATCCCAAGCACCTCATCGGCCCATCCTATGCACTTAGCCCACCCTATGCACCTCATCAGCTCATCCTCTGCTCCTAGCTCATCCCAAGCACCTCATCGGCCCATCCTATGCACTTAGCCCACCCTATGCACCTCATCAGCTCATCCTCTGCTCCTAGCTCATCCCAAGCACCTCATCGGCCCATCCTATGCACTTAGCCCACCCTATGCACCTCATCAGCTCATCCTCTGCTCCTAGCTCATCCCAAGCACCTCATCGGCCCATCCTATGCACTTAGCCCACCCTATGCACCTCATCAGCTCATCCTCTGCTCCTAGCTCATCCCAAGCACCTCATCGGCCCATCCTATTCACCTAGCCCCCCCTATGCCCCTCATTGACCCATCCTATGCTCCTAGTCCACCCTATGCCCCTCATCGGCACATCCTATGCACCTAGCCCATCCAATGCACCATCCTCTGCTCCTAGCCCATCCAGTGCACATCATCGGCCCATCCTATGCACTTAGCCCACCCTATGCACCTCATCAGCTCATCCTCTGCTCCTAGCCCATCCAATGCACCTCATTGCCCCATCCTATGTACTTAGCCCATTCAATACACCTCATCAGCACATCCTATGCACCTAGCACACCCTATGCACCTCATCAGCACATCCTATGCAACTAGTCCACACTAAGCACCTCATCGGCCCATCCTATACACCTAGCCCACCCTATGCACCTCATCAGCTCATCCTCTGCTCCTAGCCCATCCAATGCACCTCATCGGCCCATCCTATGCAACTAGCCCACCCTATGCACCTCATCGGCTGCCCAGTGCTATGGCATGGATGGAGCATGTGTATGCATGTGCATGTGTGTGTGCATGCGTGCATGTGTTTCTGCCCCTATGCAGATCTGAGGAGGATGCCTTCCTGCTCCATTGGCAATTCATAAAATATTTGCTGCAAAACTTGTTTTCATGCAAGCACCAATGCTCACATCAGGTAGGGCTGGCGGGGCCCTCTGGACGTCCCATCTAGTCCACCTCCCTGTTCAAGGCAGGATCATGCCTGTCTAAAGCATCCTAGACAAGTATTTGTCCGTCCCCTTCCTAAAACTACACACTCTCACCTTGTCACACAGTGAAGAAGCCGTTTGCCCCAAAACACCAAGAACCCCCCAATCTGCCATAGGGGATGAAACATAATCCTTGTCCTAGCTGCTGTTAAAACACCCCAAGGACTTCAGCCACTTGCACGCGCTTTCAACACGACCCAGGCTCCTTTCTCCGGGCAAGACCAAGGGCATTAATTGCCCGAGGCTGATTGGCTGCAGCAGCTTGGTTGCTTAACCGTGGCCTCTCAGGCCCTCCTCCTTGCAGAAAAACCAAGGTATGTGCTGTAACTCTCTGGTCTTTGTCCAAGGGGGCGTCATGCCTGCAGAGAGGCACTGGCCATGACATGAGGCCTCCCCAGCTTTGGGAGCCCCGGCTGGGAAGTGTCAGCTTTCGGCCCCCCCAAAAGCAGCACGGAGCAGTTACGGGGATGAGGTTTTTCCTTCAATATGTCGCCTACTTCCTTGCCTTCTTCTCCGCTGGGTTTCTCATCACGGCGACCTGGACAGACTGCTGGATGGTGAACGCCGACGACTCGCTGGAGGTAAGGTCGGGATGAGGACTGACGGTGCCCCCGAGCAAGTGCTCCTGGGGGAGGTGGGATGGGGTACGAGGTGCCTAAAAACTCCCCCTGGCATCATTGCTTTGCTGGTTGGAGCATTTCCCCCTCTTGTCCTGGGGGACAAACAGCCTGGAGAGTGGCATCTGGTTTAGTGAACTGCTGACTGTGATAAGCTTTACTGCACGGGATCTGCCCTTGGAAAACCCTCCAGGTTTTGATAGCGATACTCCGGATTGACCCTGGAGTCCCATTTCCACATGGTTTTCCCAGTCTGCAGAAGCGGAGCAGTTTTGCCCAGTTGATTCTGTAGGATAGAGTCCAAACTTTCTCCTAGGATGCCTGGGGCTCTCAGAGCCGATATATCCTGGAAGAGGTGAGTGCATTTGCAAACGTGAAGTGCCTCCGAAAGCCCGGCTGTGACAGCTAGAGCTAAAGGGGTTGGGGCATTTCCAACATTGTGCTCTTTGCAAAAGCCCCTGCTTTGCACAGGCAGGATGAAAGTGCTCCCACAGCGAGGGCCTTCCTGCATCTTTCCAGCTGAAATCTTTGCTTGCTCATTAAGCAATGAAATAAAAAATGCAATGAAATAAGAAGAGTTTCCCTGGATTGACACGGCAGCTTCAGAGGTGAGAATCTGGTGTTTCATTGAGGAGCACAAGGCAAGGGCTTAAACCAAACGGAGAGCCAGATGCACTGGCTGGATCAGACCTGAGCCTGCATGTATCACACATCTTAAAGGCTTTATGAGTGCCGGGCTCCCCGCTGACAGCAGGAGGGTAAAACACAACAAGGAAAATGGCAGGGAAAACAGATGTTTTCCCCTAACAACACGATAAATCTGCTCACATATGGTACTATGGTAACTGAAACGCATCGTTATATACCCACCTATATTATACGGTATCGTTGATACTCTAGGTAACTGTACGAAACCAAAGGATGGCTGATTGTTTTGCTCAGCATGCCTGAGTGTTAAGCGTATATAGATTTAAGGAGCGGCCCCCACAAGGGATCTTGGAGGTGTTGAAGACCCGGGTAGACCAAGCCTTGGCTGGGATGATGGAGTTGGGCTGGTCCTGCTTGGAGCAGGGGTTGGACTCGATGGGACCTCCTGAGCTCCCTTCACATCCTCCTTTTTTATGAGTCTAAGTGTCAGTAGACTTTATGCACCGATGCCCACTCGGGATCTGACCTTGAATAGGAGAAATCAAAAGTCCTCACCAGCTTTTGTCCTCCCCGTTTCTGCTGTGTGCGGTGTGTCTTTGACCCGGCATAGGAAACGCTGGGGGCACTGGAGCAACCCACGAAGCATCGAGACAAAGCTCCTCAATCTCTTGAGATATAGCTCCAATGCGCTTTCCGGGCCTTGCTTTTTAGTATGAGTTAAGGAGGGAACTGCTAGCTCTTTCCAAGCAACACAGCGATGATGATTAATCCAGTGCATTAACAGAGGTGGTTTAACCTTGTCTTCCCAGCACAAAGGCACCTCCGTGCGGGTCTCCTCTGAGTGCTCCATTAACACGGAGTTTCAGCTGACGGCTTGCCCTCGTCTCACATACCTGCCCTGAGTGTGAATATCAAACGAGCTCGTCAGGCGCCCTCGGTGTTAATACCTGACGGAATGAGCTCTCTAATGCTGCTAATGAGCCTATTGCCTTGCCAAATACGGGCATGCGGGTAAATGATCCATGGCTGGGGGAGCTGGAAGTGGCACTGCTTGTGGATGCAGAGCAGGAAGAATCCCCCGCCTCTTCGTTTGTAAGGGAAAGACCTGCAGTGTCTGAGAGACCGTCACAGCTGGCTAGTGTGTGGTAGTGTGAGCGTCACTATGCTCCTAGGTGGGTGTGCAGAGCAGCCCCAGGGGGGCTGGGTGCACTTGGATAAATAGGATTATGCAAACCGTGCACTAGAAGCTGCTCTCTCAGGAGCAGAACATGTTCCTGGTGCAGCCGGATTTGGCGTTATGACCATCACCACTACTTTTTCTTCTCTTCCCAGCCCTTCTTTAGAGGTACCCAATGCTGTGCCTATCAATCTCGTGTCTGAGTACCTTCTGGTAATGCGCTGAGCAGCTGTGACAAACCTCTGCCGTGCGTTTCTTCTCATTCTTCCCTCAGAGGGAAAAGCACAAGTTTATTCTGCAATTGTTGTCGTGCATATATTATATTATAAAGGGTGTTGAATAGCAGCAGTTATTTATCATGGGATTGTATGCATAAAGATAAATACATATCATTATATATACCGCTTACTGCATAAGGTTCAGCAAGGACAAGTGCAAAGTCGTGCACTTAGGAGGGAGCAATCCCATGCACCGATGCAGGCTGGGGGTGATGGGCTGGGCAGCAGCTCTGCAGAAAAGGACCTGGGGGGACAGAGGGCAAGAAGCCGAATAGGAGCCAGCAGTGTGCCCTTGGTGCCAAGAAGACTACCGGCATCCTGGGCTGCATTGGCAGGAGTGTTGCCGGCAGATGCAGGGAAGTGATTCTCCCTCTATTCAGCACTGGGGAGGCCACATCTGGAGTCCTGTGTCCAGCTGTGGGCCCCCACTACAGAAAGGATGTGGACACATTGGAGAGAGTCCAGCAATGACAATGGCTGTGGGGCTGGGGGACAGGACTGGTGAGGAGAGGCTGAGGGACCTGGGCTGATTGAGTCTGCAGAAGAGAAGACCGAGGGGGATTGAATAGCAGCTTCACCTCCCTGCAGGGGGGCTGCAAAGAGGATGGAGCTGGGCTGGTCTCAGTGGGGGCAGATGACAGGACAAGGAGCAATGGGCTCAAGCTGCAGCAAGGGAAGTTGAGATTGGATATTAGGAAAAACTCTCTCACTAGGAGGACACTGGACCAGGCTCCCCAGAGAGGTGGTGCAATCTCCATCCTTGGAGGTGTTCAAGACCTGGGTAGACAAAGCCTTGGCTGGAATAATGTAGTTGGGGCTGGTCCTGCTTGGGGCAGGGGGTTGGACTAGATGTGACCTCCTGAGGTCCCTTTCACCCCAAATTTTCTATCAGTATATGATATATACTGTTCTAGTGTATTGCATGAGCTATCTCTTACATTATGCATGTTAATATTTATCTTACATTATGCATTTATACATGTTAAAGAATGTGGGTCAGGGAAATGTGTTTTTCACTGGGAGTGGAAGGTGGAAGAGAGGCTTGTCCCAGTCCCTGGGGCATGGGCATGTGAGATATTAATAGTGGATTAAAAGGGGCCACCCCAGGCTCCATGGGCGCTGCCCTTGTATATGCTCATCCCCTGTGAAACTGTGGTAACTTACTGTATCCTGCAAAAGTTTTGTCTCCTGCTTAAAAAAAGGCTGGGGGAGAAAAGGAGCAGTAGAGTTCTGGCCAGGTCCCAGAGCTACCACTTACAGCAGGAACAATGCATTGTGGGATAGCTGAAGGAGTGACCAATCTCATGTCACAGAGCGCTTGGAGTCCACCGGTGACACTGATCTGGTTCACAGGGAACCGGTTCAAAAGTACTTGATTTTCCAGGTGGATTTTGGAGCCGTTCCAGACAACATTCAGCTGGATTAGCAGGTTTGTGCGTCTTCGAGCAGGGGGCAGCAACCCCAGCCGGGTCAGCCCAGGGGATCCAGTGGCAGGATGCTGTGCCAGGCTGCCTGTGCCCTCCACCGTCCTCCCTGCTGCTCTCTTGTGCTTGCACTTCCCCTCGCTGCAGAGGGGCCACGAGATTTGTGGCCCAGGGCTGGGAACTGCACCAGAAAAGGTTGGCCGTCCTTGCTTAAGACTAGTCTAAATGCAGTTTAAACCTGGATCAGACAGTGTCACATGTGTCCACACCCTCAGGCACCTAAGCACAATGCAATGCACTCTGCAGAAGCCCTGAAAATTTATGAATCCTTTCCCTGTTGTCATATGCTGTACATCCAACCCTGTACAGCAACCTTTTGTCCGGCGTGCCACAAGTTAACCCTGCACCCTGTCCTCGTGCTGCTCGTAGATCTGCTGCTCTGCTTGCTGCTCCTTGCCCTCTCTGCTGCCTGTCCTCCCCGATCTGTCGGACGTCACGCTCAGAGCCTGCTTGTGCTACTTGCGGCATGAATGCCACAGGCCAGCCAGCCTTGCTCTAGAGGGTGATGCCGAAAAAGGCAGCAGGGAGCAGGAGCTTTTTGCATTAGCTGGGTTTTTTTTCCAGGACCTTGAGCATAATCACACTTATGCGCCTCAATCCATTTATGCATCTAATAGGACTGGAATTGGGCTTTGGGGGCTGCAGAAGGAGACAACATCCATCAGCATGCTGAACCCCTGAGCAAGTGTCCAGGTCCTGCCCTTAATGAAATGCAAGGAGGTTTTGCCATGGACGTGGCTGGATGGTGCTTGCCCACGTGGCCCGCGATGGCCGTCCTGGCGTGCTGCTTGCATATGCTCGTGCTGTCTTTCTTTAGGTGAGTACAAAGTGCCAGGGCCTGTGGTGGGAATGCGGCACAAACGTCTTCGACGGGATTCAAACCTGCGATGAGTACGACTCTATACTGGCCGAGCACCCCGGTACGTAGCCTGCAGGTGTCCTTCACAAGCCACAGAGCATTTTGTAGCCTCATCCCCTTCCTCCCTGATCAGCTTAGATATGGTGCTATTGTGGTGCTATTTAAACAGCGAGGCTTGATCCGAATCCGTGGGCTTTGATCCGGTCCTGCAGCGACTTTGGCCTTTAGCCTTAGCTTCGGCATCATGCTCTGACTTCTCTTTCTTGAGAAGGACCCAAAAGAGCCTATAAATGTAAGTGAAAATAGCTCAGTCACGATGGCAGGGATGACAAAAGCCGCTCGGGGCCTCCAAAGCAGCATGCAGAGTCAAAAACACCCGGAGCTCTTCCCAGGTAACAAGGTTATTTGATGCAGCAAATTTCTAGTGACCACATTGCATTGCTTGAGCAATGCAGCGTGCATGGTGGTGATAAAAGAAAATCAACACCCTTCAGCTTCCACCCCAAAAAAGATTGGTTTGGGTCTTTAACAGAGTTCATGTGGCTTTGATTTCCCCCTATGCAAGGCAGAAGAGCCCAGCTAAGGCTCAGCTTCCCCATCCAGCCCCGACCTCAGCTCATCTTTCCATTCTGGTATTGAAAAAAGTACTGGGCTTCAGAGTGGCAGAAGCCTCAAGAATTTGATCCGCCACAATTGCATTTAAATCTGAAAGGCACTGGGCCCCCGGCAGTGGGAAGAGTCCAGCTTTTGGCTTGCTTTCTTCTGTTTTGCAACCAAAAAAATGTGACTTTTCCCCTATGTTTTGTTTTGTTTCACTGGGGAGATCCCACGTTCCCGGGCAAAAATGAGAGACGGTGGCTCAGATAGTGAGGGAAAATGTGAATTCACCCACTGAAGCCTAACCAAATATTTGGAAGCGTTTAGATGAACAAAAGGATCGTGTTTTTGCAACAGAGCTTGAAAGACATAAATCCACTCCTTTTGACATTTATGTCTGAGCTCTAGGGAATACGCAGCCTTCTTCCCTGTTTGCGTTTCTCTTTTGCCAAGAGGTTGCTGCAGCACTGTGGGAGTCTCCCGGTCTGCCCGTGTCTAGCGGGTGCATGGGGCTGGCACGGCTAAGGCACGTTAGCTTCCATAGCCTGCAGGACGTACTAGCATCACATCTGTCCGCCTTAGACTACCCTGACTGAGCAGGTATCCCTTGGGGTTGACTGGGGGCAGCAGGAAGACACGTAAACTCATGCCTCAAGAGCTAGGGTGAGATGCATGAGCCCTCCTGGTGCTACCCCACACTACCCCAGTCTAAATACCAGTGCTGGGAGTGCCCGTGGTCTGGGGATCACCTTCAGGACGTTCCCTGAAAAAATTGCAGAGGTCCCAATCAAACCCTGGAACCAAAAGCACTTTGAAAACCTGCTTTTTGATGTTTGGCTAATTGGATCCACTTGTCCACCCATAACTATAGGTGGCCGTTGTTCATGCTGTGGCCCCGATCATCTGCTCATGAATGCTGCATGGACAACACATGTCTACTCAACCGTCTTTTCTAGCCTGCTTCTTTCCCCTACCCAGGCAAGGTCTGTCCTGTAGCTTGGTAAAGAGTAGAGGTGTCACTTGGGGTGGAGAATCCCCTTTTTTATGAATGGTTGGATATATAAAGGGATTCAGGACTTGTAATAGAGATGATATCTTTTGTTAGACCAACAAGATTTTTGCAAAAAAATCATCTCTACTACGAGTCCTGATAGCCTTTTCCTCTAGACCAATACAGCTACAACCTGGATACCGGATATAGAAAAGAGCTGAAAGATAACTATAAGCCTGCTTATGCAGTTGCCATCCTCCAAGGTGTACGTGGCAGCGGATGGGTGAAATCTAAGAGAATAATGCTGCTGTTTAGAGAAATAGGCTGATTTTGGCATAAGGAATTTAAGTATTACACTGAAAGGTGCTCTCGAGCTCTCCAAAAACCGCTCTCCTCGGTCTGAATATGGCTGCCCAGAGGCAGAGATCCCCTGGGATAGGATTTCATTCAGTACAGTCGAACCTCAACTTACACAGTGGTTACGTTTTCGAAAAAACACCGTGCGAATAGAAATCACCTAAAAAGATGCACAGTTAGCTGACCGTGCATAACTGAAACGTGCCAAAAAAAAATACTGTGTAAATTGAGGCCTGACTGTACTGCACTTCCTCCCCACTGTGTAAAAGTGAATCCATGCCATGTACAAAAAAGAAAGGGGTACAATGAATTGACTGAAACTGTGCAAAAAATACCGTATGCACCAAGGACTGACTGTACCCCCGTCACACCCTGCTCCCTTATTTTCAAGGAGCCAGGTTTTCACTCCAGGAAAGGGATTTTGGTGCAAACTGGTGCTCCATCCCCTCTGATTTCTTGCTGTCTTTTCCTTGCACCATCCCGTCCTGCTCCTGCGCTGCAGTGAAGCTGGTGCTGACCCGAGCCATGATGATCACAGCCGACATCCTGGCAGGATTCGGATTCACCTTCCTGCTGCTGGGTCTCGACTGCGTCAAGTTCCTCACCGACGAGCCCAACATCAAGCTCCGCATCTGCCTGGTGTCGGGGGTTACGCTGCTCACGGCAGGTACGTGCCCAAGGCAGCCGTGCAGCCACGGACGGCGTTAAGGACAACGAAGGTGCATGCGGGTCTTACCCAGGATTCGCGAGAGAGCAGGTGCACGGGGAGCACGGTGGGAAGGGTGCTCCAGTGCTCTTTACAGGAGACAGATGTCATGCCCGGCTGTGCCATGCACGATCCTCCTTGTATCTCATTTCCTTATCTCTAGTGTTGGAATAGCAGCGCTTCCCTCCCCCCCCCCAGCTGAGAAAGACATTAGAGAGAGGGAAGGGCAACCCACCGAACTACAGAAAAGAGATTCCCATGTCTAGCCCCTCCGCTTTCTGTACCTGAGTGCTACCAATAGCAAAATCTCTCTTTAATCAGCCTGTCCACACTTGAGTCCCGGCCCAAATGTTAAGAGGTTTATGAATATCTAACTTGTTTGGAGATCCAGTTTTGGGCAGCCGAGCGGTTGTTAGAATTAATCTCAGTGCATTCAGAGAACTTTCTGTTGAAAGTTTCCCCTTTTTTCTGGCAAAATTCAACATTCACTTGAGAAACGTTGCCAGCGTATTGAAGGCAACGCAGCTCTGAGCAGCGTGCGAGCAATGCTGCCAAGCTGAGGGGCAGGGAGATGGAACTGCCAAGTGTGCAACTGCTCCCTCTCTATCAGTATGTAAATACATATAGATGACTAAGTGTGTGTGTGTGTGTGTGTGTGTGTGTGTGTGTGTGTATACATGTATGTGTGTGTGCATATATATATATGTAATGTGTGTATATGTGTTATATGTGTGCATGTGTGTATATGTAATGTGTGCGTGTGTGTTATCTGTGTGTGTGTATGTGTGTATATGTGTTATATGTGTGCGTGTGTATGTGTAAAGTTTGCATGTGTCATATATGTATGTGTGCATGTGTGTATATGTTATATGTATATGTGTGTGTTATATGTATATGTGTATATGTAATGTGTATATGTGTGTATATGTAATGTGTATATGTGTGTATATATGTTATGTGTATATGTGTGTATGTGTGTGTATATGTAATGTGTTTATGTGTTATATGTATATGTGTGTGTATGTTTGTGTGTATATGTGTCGTGTGTGTGTATGTATACATAAATATGTGTATATATCTGTGTATGTGTGTATATATATGTGTGTGTGTGTGTGTGTATTATACATATATATGTATGCGTATATATATGATTGTTATATATATAGAGATGTGTGTGTGCGTGTATGTGTGTGTGTGTTATATATATATATAGATATGTATGTGTGTATGTGTACATGTGTATTCCCTCTTTTTACACTGAAATTTTAAAAATCCCCACCAGCCGATGTGTGTATAGCATAGATGAGAAAGCAAAGCCCTCACATATGAGTCTTGCCCTTGAATACTCTGGGCGCACCCTCAAGATGAAGCCAGTGGACATCAGAGGATGTAATGGTCTCAAGCTGCAGCAAGGGAAGTTGAGGTTGGATATTAGGAAAAACTTTCTCACGAGGAGAGTGGTGAAGCACTGGAGCTGGTCACCCAGAGGTGGTGCAATCTCCATCCTTGCAGGTTTTGAAGTCCCAGGTAGATCAAGCCTTGTCTGGGATGATGTAGTTGGGGCTGGTCCTGCTTGGAGCAGGGGCTGGACTAGATGTGACCTCCTGGGGTCCCGTCCAACCCTCCTTGTCTGTGACTGAATCAGGATACAGTAGAGTACAACTCATGGAAACTTCACCTATTTGACCGTCTTCTTTGGGGCCCTTCTCTTCTGCCCTGCAGGCATCCCAGGCCTCATTGGCTCGGTGTGGTACGCTATTGGTGTGTATGTGGAGCGCTCCTCTCTGGTCTTGCACAATGTGTTTCTTGGCATCCAGTATAAATTTGGCTGGTCCTGCTGGCTTGGAATGGCTGGGTCGCTGGGATGCTTCATGTCTGGGGCCATGCTCACCTGCTGCGTGTATCTCTTCAGAGGTAAGAACCCAGGGCAAGACTTAAAAGCAAGGAAGATAGGAAGAATGGTCTCTCTGGAGCATTTGCAGGTGCCCAAAGCAATGGGATTTTGTTTAGGGCCATGTCTGGAGTGAGTTTGGTCTTTGTGACCACTAGATCCTTGCCATCTCTGCTGAGGCTGCCAGGGTTGCTGATCAGCTTCGAACAGGACCGAGGAGGTTCATTCACTGAAGAGCTAGCAGGTACGACTAGCTCTGGGTCACTGCTGCTGGAACCTGTAAAAAAAGACCTCTTCTCTCCATCATCATCATCTGAGATGGTGAAACACAACCCAGTGTCTTCAGCTGTGCAATGGGCACCGTGTTTATTAACGCTTGACCTATCTTTGCAAAGTGCAAAGTGCTGGAAGCTGAGGAGCAAGGATGGCCTACAATGCATTATTAATTGGAAGCGTCCCGGTCCTGTGTCTGGTGGGCAAATTGCAAATGGAAATGAGGCAGTGGACTAGACACTTAGGGGAGCTTTGGACTCTCCATCATGGGAGGTGTTCAAAAAGACGGCGGAGAGTCACAGGTTGGGGATGATCTAGGTGTAGCTATGCCTATATTGTACTATGGAGATTTCCCTGGTAGATACATTACAGAGAGTGTTACCCCCACCCTTTTCTGCTACACGTGTCAGGGTCTTTTTAAGCCTTCCCAAACCCAATGGGAGTTGGCTACAGCTCAGGCTGGGGCCTTTGACTAGGTTGCACCAATGCACCTGCTGGACTTAAAGCTGGAGGGTCCTGGCTGGAGGGTCTTGTCCCTCTGCTCAGGGTCAAACTGATGCCAGATTTGGGGTCAGGAAGGAATTTTACCCCCTGGTCAGACTGGCATGGACTGGGAGGGTTTTGCCTTCCTCTGTAGCATGGGTCGTGGCCTCTACCCAGCACCTCTTGAGTATGTACTGACAACATTTTATAGAGGCAGGAGGTTGGCTGCTGTGATTCCCCTGCAATCAGGACTCATAGTAGAAATTATGTCTTTTATTAGACCAACAAGATTTTTGCAAAAAAAATTCTTTAATTTTGCAAAAAAAAAATCTTTAATCGTGCTTCCTCTGCTTTACTTGTGGCGGGTGTTCGGTCTGTGTTGTGGGTAGTCTCATGTAGATTTAGATGATGGATTTGCCTGGGATGGTTTGCATGGGGCTGATCCTGCATCAGGAAGGGGGTTGGATAAGGGGGCTCCCTTCCAGCCCCACTTCTCTAGGACTCCTCTTTTTATCCTTGTGCACCACAGATGTTGGGTCTGGGAGGTTTCACTCTTCTCGCTCCCTGAGGAAGATGTACTCCCCAGCTGGCACCATTGTGGCAAACACGTACCGTCCGTCTTCTCGGACAGCCACTGCCCAAGTGTACGCGGTGGACACCAGAGTGTGAGGAGCAGAAGAGGGTGAGATAAAGTGCTCTGCTCTCAGCTTTCTCTGTACACGCAGAGCCCTGGACTCTAGCGGTTGCCAGACAGATGCTCAGTTCCCACTTAAAGAGATGTGGCAGAAAGAAAAATAATCAACAGCAAGGATGCAACCTCGGAGAATTAAGGACTCCCGCTGGGTTGAATATGGAGAGGTGCCAAGCACCTGCTAAGCTAACTCAGTCTGTCAGACTGTGGCTCACAAGGTTTGATGCAAATTAAATCAGCTTCTTACAGGATCAGGGCCTGATATTCTGTATAAAAACCCTCAGACAGTAAGACAGAGCCGGTGTGTGCCTGACAACATGCTGCCAGCCCAGGCAGAAGGGCTTTGGCTAGGAGAAGGGGCTAGTAGGGAGCTGGTACACGAGTGCGTTCCCTTCATGAGAGCAGCAATGTGTTCATGCAGAATAAAAGGGGTTGTATGAAACTCCACCACCGCTGTCAGAGTCTGGAGCCTGTGGATATCCTAGCAGGGAGCATGCTACTAAAGAAGATGCAATCATCCCTGTGACTTGCCAGCCTCATCCTTCTGCATGCTGCAAGCTTTAAACTGTCTCCTGCAATACTCTTTGTCTTCAAGATGGGCTGAAACCAGGAGGGGAGCGTTATCTGACCAGGGGATACAAAGGTATGCTTCATGCCCGGATGCTTTGCTGCTCAAAAATGCTTTAAGAAATGTCGAGAGAAGGAAAAGATGAGTGCAGGAGGAATAAAGCAGGTGTGATTCAGTCACTGAGCCTGCCGAGAATGGATGTGAAGGTATGGGAGAGAAAGGAGCACAAGTCATCCTCCAGCTGTTTCTCCCTGAAGGTGTGCGCCTGTGAGTGTGCATGACGGGGAGAGAAGGCTAATACTACATCCAAAATCAGCCTTTTTGCTCCTGTGTTTCAAATCATTGGAGACCACCTGGTTGCAAAAGAGGTTTAATAACTGCCACAAAAGGGAGGGACTTGGGGCTACGCAGCTCAGCCCAGATTGGGCCATTTCACTGGGGTACAAGACCCACGATGACCTGATCCTAGGACTTAGGACCGTGGGGCTAGACGGGACCTCAGGGGCCACCAAGTTCAGCCCCCTGCTCAGATGCAGGAGGTGCTGTTCCCCACATCCCAGACCCACGCCTGCCCAGCCTCTGCTTGGAAACTTCCCCTGGAGATGCCCCCACGGTGGCGGGGGAGCTGGGTTAGCAGCCACACAGGTAAGCACTGGAGAAGGTGTGTTTCTCTTGTGCTATCACCTCTCCAACACATGCAGATCCGTTTGCTGTCCTGAGGCTCATCCAAGGGCAGGCAAAGACCAAGGCAACCAGGCTGTGCTAGCCTAACCCAACCGAAAGCCCAGACACGGATAGATGATGGTGTATTAATGTTTGTCCTCCCAACCACCATCCTCATCCTGATGCTCCAAAGACCAAACAAGCTAAAAAAATGCTTTTTCTCCAAGTCCCTTTTATTTTTCCTTTTGCATTTTGTTAAGCTGGGGGCAGCTGCCTTCTCACTATGGATTTTTCTATAACATTTGTAAGGTGTGAATAAATAGTTGTATATGCTAAAGGGGCAGGGTGTGTGCATCCAGCGTGTAGCAAATGCTGCCTTAAATCACACTGCATCATCCGGGGTTGTAAAAGTGCGTGGATGCCAAACCAATCTGTAAGAAACGGGGACCAGAGGCCATTTGGGATGAGAGTGGAATAAAGTTTAACTGTGCAAAGTTCAGTCCAAGGCATCTTCAAGGGACCTCACCATTGCCTTGAGGTGCTGGGGGACAAGTTGCACAGCTGAGGTTAGTGGTCTATAAAAACAAGTCCTATGCTACGTTCCTTCCCAATCTGGATCGTGCTTGCATTCACCTGGTTATTTGATCACTTGCTGGCTTCAGTCTGTACGACTGTGAGTCTGCTGATGGATTTGATCCTAATGGTAACTTTGATTTGGTGATGGCAATGCTGGATTTTTCTGAGCGTTGTTGAACTTCCAGTTGGTTAGCCCCCTCTGCTGCTTAGTGACCTTTTGAAGAGGCTCATATTTTGTTTGGGCTCCATCTAAACCAGTGGTGTTCAACCTCTTTTCATTTGCGGACTCCTAAAAATGTTCAAATGAAGGTGCAGACCCCTTTGAATGGTAAGTGTGGGTATTAGTCACATACTTTTGATTGAGCCTAGCCATCTGTCCGGGACCCTTTAGACATAGCCTAAAGACCCCCAGAGGCCCATGGACCACAGGATGAAAACCACTGGTCAAATCTATTCCCATTTCCAGGGCACTGCCAGGCTGGATTGGGATTTAAGCCAGGCTGTTCCTGGGATTTAAGCTTTTTTGGTCTGTTTGTGTCATAGTCACTCCTTAAAATGCAGGTGCCTGGTCACCTATTTCCCCTGAGCACTGCTGGGCTAATCAAGCTGCCAAGCTGTCTCCTAAGACATCAGGATCCTCTTCTATGGGAATGCCCTTTCTCTCCCTTTCAAGCTCAAGGTCTCAGTCCTCCAAATCAACTGGATCAATCATTTGATGGTTTTTGCCATTAGCCATTTTCATACCAGGCTTTCATCCCATGCAGGTAACTAAGCCCCGAAACATCTGCCTGGAATAAGAAGAAATAGTAGCTCCTAGGAGGGTGGTCAGCAGCGTGCTTGGGACCCCGGGTCTCTGTGCTCAGCTCCCCAGAATGAGTTCAGGGGGCTGAGCCCATTTGCAATGCTCAAGGCAGGACAGGGGTGGGCAGCAGGAGCCCGGCGCTCGGCCACAACCTTCTTGGAGGAGCTGGACTGGATAAGGGACCCCCCAAGACAGTCTGTGCTGTGTGTGAACCCTACTTTCCCCTCTAATCAGCACTGGGGAGGCCACATCTGGAGTCCTGTGTCCAGCTGTGGGCGCCCCACTGCAGAAAGGATGGGGACACATTGGAGAGAGTCCAGCGGAGGGCAATGAAAATGGTTGTGGGGCTGGGGGACAGGACTGGTGAGATGAGGTTGAGGGAACTGGGCTGATTGAGTCTGCAGAAGAGCAGACCGAGGGGGATTGAATAGCAGCCTTCACCTCCCTGCAGGGGGGCTGCAAAGAGGATGGAGCTGGGCTGGTCTCAGTGGGGGCAGACAACAGAAGGAGCAATGGGCTCAAGTTGCAGCAAGGGAAGTTGAGGTTGGATATTAGGAAAAACTCTTTAGCTGGGAGGGTGGTGAAGCACTGGAACAGGCTCCCCAGAGACGTGGTGCAATCTCCATCCTTGGAGGTTTTCAAGACCCGGGTAGACAAAGTCTTGGCTGGGATGATGTAGTTGGGGCTGGTCCTGCTTGGAGCAGGGGGTTGGACTAGATGTGACCTCCTGAGGTCCCTTCAACCCTCGTTTTCTAGGATTGTGTGATACTTGGGAATGGTCAAGATGGGATTAATAAGCAGAACAGCTCTTCCCCCAGCCCTGCCTAGCAGCAGCTGGGGTAAAACTCCAGGCAGGGGTTGGGGGAGGGAAGGGAAGCCCCTCCAACAGGCTCCTTAACAGCTTGGCAAGAAGATCCCACGGGACGGGGAGAAAATGGAGATTATCAGGTCCTTGGGAGGACCAGGAGCCGGTGTCCTATTGGGCCAGGGTGCTGTGACAGCCCCTGAGTGACAGGATGCTGGGTCAAACCCTTCACACGTACCTTAGGATGGGAAGTGACCCGATGAAGGTCCTTTTGGTAGGTGAAGACTGGCCAGCGGACGCAAATATTGATAGCTGGAAAATCACCTCCCTGATTAGTTTTTTCCA